TGACCGTTACATCAACCTGCAAATTTGATATATGATTCTTAGGATATAGTACTACACTTTGACCGATCGGATTTGTAATTGAAAGCCTATGTTTTGAGAAAGAAATTTTGAAAGTTTGAAAAATCTGATGAACACTATATTTCTATTCTTAAGTTATCATGGTAAAAACTTCATATATATTTTACTTACCGTTAGATTGAGCCCAAACTTTAGTATGTAGTTCATAAGACATATTAAGTCATCTTGACCGTTCAGATTTGTAATTAGATGTCTGTGCTTAGAGGAATTGGTTCCGCATTTTGAGTATAACCGAAAACCACTTAAAATTTTGTCCCTGAGTTACCTCGGTAAAACCTCAATATCTATCTACTTAACCATTAGATCAACCTGAAATTTTAATATGTAGTTTCTAACACATAGTTAATTACTTTGACCGTTCAGATTTGAAATTGGAGTTATAGATTTAGAAATATTAATTCTGTATCTTCTCAGGGATCTTAATATTACTTAATTTCTGTTTTTGGACCATTTATACAAAAATTATGAGTTTCGCCTTATTAACCGTTGGATTGGACTGAAAATTTTACCACATGATCTAAACATGTTGTTAATTAGTTTGATTGGTTAAAATATTTAATTAATGATATGAGTGAAGAGAAAATTTTTCACGAAATAGCAAATTTATTTGAATTGAGTAAAATCTTGAATAATTATATTCTTAAATTTGATGTGTAGTTGTATTTTGAAGATTGGAAGATGAGTAATACTGTCAGACCTCGTAATTAAGCAACCAAACCCACCTGTCTAATCTCATTTATTACACCGAAAACCCTGCTCAAACCATTTAAAACGCACTCCCAAACTCTGCACACTGACGCTAGGTGTCAAGAACGGAAAGTTCGAAAATCAGTAGTGGAAGACAGGTGTCCGTATGAGAATGCACGTTCGTTTTGCCTTGGGAAGAAAAATGATTTTCTGAAACACTTCTTCCCACTCTCTGCATGCACCCTTCTTCCTCCTGAAAATCTGATCTTTCATTTTCCTCCTCCTTCTCTCTAGAAAACCTTTTCTTCTCTCTACTGTAATTCATTTTCCTCTTCTCCGATCAACTTTCAGAAACCGTAGAAGTGTTCCCGGCGGTATAAGCTTCAGTTTGAACCGATCCTTTCCTCATTCTGAAACTGGTAAGCTTATCGTCTCTAGCTGTTCGTTCATATGTGCATGCAAGCCAAGTTTTGGTTACATGCGGTCACCTTATCTAAACCACTCTTGGTTTTCTGTAATTTGTTTAGTTTGAAGAGTTTGTTTGAGGTTTGTGGGTAGAAGAAATCGTATTTCTGTGAACTGAGTTTTTGTCTGAAGCAAGTTCGTTCACTTCAAGAGGTAAGGGAAGCTTATTTAATTTAATTTGAACTGTATGCTGTAGAACTGTTGACGTTCGTTGATTGGATGATGTTGATGCATGATGATTATTATGGTTTGATTAATTGAACGTTCGTTTACTTGATGAGTTGAAATGATATATGGCTGAGTTAAGTTATGATGCATGAAATAATATGAAACATGTTTGGTATGTGAAGTATAAGATGTGAATGTTGATCTTGATAGAAAAATTATAAAGTTCTGAAGTTATGAAAGTATAAGTCAAGAAAGACTAATTTGAAATAAATGATTCTGTATAAGAGGTTATACTATGTTAAAATACATTCGTTACTGGATGGTCATCGACCGTTCGATTTTCCTGTTGAACCTAGTTGATATGGGATTCTTTCATTTGGAAAGAATTCTAGTTGAGGATGAACGCCCTCTTGTGACACACCTCTCTTTCCTGGAAGTCTACTCGACAAGTTTTTAACTTAAATCCTATTGAACAAATTATGTACTGTTAAATTATTGTATAATATATCTTGTTGGAATGGAAATGTTTGATGAATTCAAGTTATTGTGGTAGATATGGAATTATGAATTATAATTGTGATGATTGGATTTAAATTTATGCATCTGAACATGATATAAGAATTATGGGGAGATTTCGTAATGGTATAATATGAGTTGAGGAATGTGAGCATGGTATGAGTCTCGTGGAGAGATTCTGTAATGCCATGGTATGTGTGTATAAGGAATGTGAGCATGGTATGAGTCTCGTGGAGAGATTCTGTAATGCCATGGTATGTGTGTATAAGGAATGTGAGCATGGTATGAGTCTCGTGGAGAGATTCTGTAATGCCATGGTATGTATGTATATGTTGATGTTGATGGTCATGAAGTTGGAGGTTATCCTGATACTTTAATAATCATCCAGTCTCAAGTAGAGAATGATGAATTATGTGGTGAGAGGGGCAGGAGGTCCTGGTCTATGTGCCGGTTTTGGACATAGTGAGGGGACTAAGAATGACATCACAAGTGCAAAACCTCCCGTTGTATCGCTCATCAACATATCGTTGGGATAAGTGTCTATTGGGTATTGTGGTGTTTATTGGGTATTATGGGACGAGTGTCTAATAGGAATTGTGGTATGATGGTATGAGGGTGTCTGACATAATTATTGTATGATGTTTGTATCGAAGTAATTATGCATGTTTTATAAATGATTTGTTGCATGTTAGCTCACCCTACTTGTTTGTGTTTATGTTTGGGTATGTGCGATGATCGTATAATTCGTTATAGGGGAGCAGATGAAGGAATGTCGTCTGACTCA